GTCCAGGTGTCTCTGGTGAACTGGAGACCTGTCCAGGTGTCCCCCATCTTCAACCAAAGGCAGCGAGGACATGTTCCAGCCCTGACCCTGATTAGGAACATGGAGGACAGGAGGAGGATTTTTCTTTATAGCAGGAAACAGACATTTAATTATAAAACATGATTTATTTTATGTTCATCTGAATCCGTTTAGTGTTGTTTGTAAATATATTTGACAGTTTTGTAGGAATGAACACGTTTGTAATGTTTGTTCAAAATAAACCTGATTCTTATGACTTCTGTAACATGTTTTGAATAAAATATTATCAGTAAAAATTTCAAATCATGTCCTTTCTAAGAATTAGAACTCTTGTGACATGAACTCAGAAAGTCAGGCGTATGGGTGGAACTGACCAACCAAACACAGGAGGCGAATGAATAAAAGGTAAGTGATTTATTTACAGGTGCGGGGGAAAAATATACAAGTCCGGATCTGAAAAAAGGGGAAGAGTCCAGGTGGGTCTTCTTCAATAAAGATTGGATCTTGAATGATAAATATTTTAGGTAATGAAAATCCTTTCTTACAGGTTTCTGAAGAACGAGTCGGCTTAGAGGTGAGGTTTCCTTTGCGAGGTAAAAGGTTTCTTCAGGCAGAGTGGCAAGACCATAAAATCTTCCTTGGTTCCTTTAGGTGATGATCCTGGGCARACCAAAACTCCAGMCGACGTAATGGCAAAGGTTTCCTTGAACAGCAAAAACATTAAGGTAAGTAACAATAAACGTTAAACTTTCAATAACTATTGTTGGCTTAAGCACAACCAAAAACGGTGTTATGCATCAGCGAGGACTCATCCATCTGGAGACACTTTTAAAGCCCAGGATATCATCAGGGTGATTGCACGCAGGTGGTACAATTAGGAGCAGGAACCAAGCAGAAGGTAAACACCAAAACCTCCAATCATCACATCTTGTAGATATAAAGGATAACATTTAGAAAATGCAATTTTACAACTATCAAAAAAAAAGACCCTCTCAGTCACTGAAAATAATTTATTTACCACATTTTAAAGACTGATTATTATCTGGGCCCTTAAGGGTTAATGCTCCTGTACGGGACCGTCTGTCTGACCTGCGGTGTGAGACAGAGGAGAGGAGAGGAGAGGAGAGGAGAGGAGAGGAGAAGCTCAGCTCCATGTTTGAGTCCAGCAGAACCTGTACAGCAGCTGATTCCGTCTGGATTTGACTTTACAAACTACTCTGGTTACTTTTTTTAAAGTTAAGGGACATTACAGCTGCGCTGCCCAGCGCTATTTATAGAACATGAATGGACACGCGGGAACCTGGTCGCACGTGGGGTCTGTGTTGGTGAATCTAAATTATTGATAAGGTAACCATGCTGTGGCTTCACCTGTCACATTTTATTTTAAAGAAAGAAAAAGTAGCTTGCAGAGCTGTCACATCGGTGCTACGCGATTAAAAGCAGAGTTTTCATTGCGCGCGCACACACGTCTTTCTATCTTTGTGAGGACCACACACAGCGCTCAGCCTCACTCTGCGTTGTCTTTTTTCCCCAAGTTTGGCGAGAGGTGGAAATGGAGATGCGCAAAAATTAGCTCTCGACTTGATCTGGACTTATTTAAATAAAAATGACTACATGCCATGAAATTCTTAGAGGGGCGGGCTGTCTCGTTGGTGGTGGGGCTGTATAATGGTAGGGGAAGCACTGCTGTTAAATTAGGAAAATATGAAAACAAGATACATTGAAATGGASATATGTTCAAGACCAAAACCAAAGAAGAGAGACTCATCCCCAACCCCACTGCAACCCCACCAGTTTTTAGGCAATTTTCAGTATTTTTTTTTTCTTCAACCTTCTGAGGCCGACGCCCACTCTGGAGTGGGCAAACACATGATGCATTTAAAGGGCTTCTGTTATAAATATGACAGCATGCTGAACATTCATTTCAACTGGATTTGATATCAAGGGCTTCAAATTCAATAAAAAAGTGTTTTTATTGATATTGTTTTTATTTACTTCCAAATAAAATGAGATTTATGATATAAAATTTTCATCATCATTTTATGCAGGTTTTTACGCATCGCTGCACATTCAGTGAATGCTTTGTGACYACAAAGTGACTGAATGCAACATGACACCAATTTTTTTCGGATTTTTTTTAAGTGCACCACATTTCCAGCAGCCAATCAAAAATGTTTCTCAGAAAAAAACTTGAGCAAAGCGAGCAGCAGCCACCCCGGAGGAGAAAGTTTTGGGAAGACGAAGAGGACTGAGCATAGTGGACACTTTGGATACCGAAAGCAATGTTTTCGGTTTGCTTGCATAAGTGTGTTAGAGTGCGTGAGTTTGTGTGCATTGTGTGTAGTAGTTTGTTAGTCTGTCTGTCAACATGAATCGTCGTTATATGTCTGCCGATCAAGCTCTACTTACTTTATGAGCTTGAAGGAGGAGGATGATGGCAGCGCGCACGGAGATGAATCGGAATCGGACAAGTCGGAGTTGAGGTTTGTCTTTTTTCTTTCTTTGTTTATTTGGATTGAACATGTACAGTAAAATATTCAGAGCAGAGTGGCACTGCACAAGATTATACAAGCTAATTTACATCTGCAGGTGGATGACCCGTCAGTTTTTTTCCGTGAAGAGGAGGAGGTGTTGCGGAGGACTCGCTCTGTCCGGATGAGGTCCACATCAAATGTCCAGGACAGAAGACAAAATCATTTTTTATCTGTGCTAACTCCAGGGAAGGTAAGAGACAGGTTCAGGACCATCATGTGGAACATTCACCTGAGCAATCCTGAGGAGGATGTTGAAAATGATCAAAAGAGAACACATGGACACGACAAACTGTTTAGACCCTGATGTTGGACAGAATTAGTAGTGGAGTCATTGAAAATGACTTTATAAATAGTTGCAAACAAAAAAAATACATTTAGATGTTGGACAGAATTAGTGGTTGAGTCAATGTGAACCATTTTGCAAATGTAAAAAACGCCTGGGAATTTTCCCAATATTTGATGTAAGAACATAAATATTATTTTTTATATATTTTTACATATATTTTGAAAGTTTACGCTACAGAGTCTCATTATTAACAGAAAATGTTCGTTAAATATATTTGTGAATTCTAGAGTGAATAAATCAGTATTTTTTCAACTCAGATTTTTTTAAAGATATTTTGGTGGTGGTGGGATGGGGGGGGGGCGCTCGTGCGCGTGCGTGGTGGGGTTCACATGCGCTATGATGCAGTTTACTTGGCATCTGAAAATACATTTCCTCAAAGGTATTTTTTATCTGAAAAGAGCTTCACTGAGTGAGAACTAATGTTGAGAGCTCATCAGGCAGCTAGGTTTCACATTAAATTTCACTCGAGAGCCTGCAGGAGTCATGGGCGGTGTGTGGGGTGGGGAGGGGGGAGGGGGTGCGCTCTGCCATGAGGAAGTTCAGCTTAAAGACACGTCCCAGGGGCG